TAGTAGCTGTAATAGTGGTAGTAGTATCTCAACTAGTACCATTATCATTATCATTATCATTAATAGTAATAGTAGCAGTAGTTTTACTATGGTTATTATCATCTTAAAGATCATTATTATGGTTATCATTATTTTATCATTTTCTCAATTGCTATCATTATTATTATTATTATTATTATTATTATTATCATTATTGCTATCATTATTTTTATTATTATCATTATTATTATTATTATTATTATTATTATTATTATTATTATTATTATTATTATTATTACTATATTATCAATATTGTTATTATCTTTCTAATTATTACCATTATTAACATTATCATTACTACTGTCATTATTCTAATTATTTTCATTATTATTTTTCATTATCATTATTATTCTTATCATTACTATTATCATCATCATCATTATCTTATTATCATTATTATTATTATTACACTCATTATCATTATCATTATTACTGTTATCATTATTATAATTATTACCATTATTGTTACTGTTACTATCAATGTTGTTTTTGTTATTATTATCATCATTGTTATTATCATTATTATTATTATCATCATCCCTATTGTCATCTTTATTATCATTATTATTATTATCATTATTATTATTATCATTATCATTATCATTATTAACGTCATCGTTATTATCATTGTTATTATAATTATCATTATCATTATCATTATCAACGTCATCATCATTATTATTATTATTATTATTATCATTATTATTATTTTTATTATTTTCATTATCATTATCATAATCATTGTTCTTATTATCATAATTGTTATCACTATCATTGTTAGTATTATTATTATTATCATTGTTACCATTAATGCCATTCTGAATCATAATAATCATTATTATTATTAACACTTTTATAACAATTATTATCATTATCATTTTTGCTACAATTGTTATCATCATTAACATTATCATTATCATTGTTGTTATAATCATCATCATTATCATTATTATCACTGTTATTGTTATTATCATTATTACTGATGTTATTATCATCATTACTATAGTTTTTTATCATTATCGGTATTATCATTATCAATATTATTATTATTAATCTCACTATCATCATCATCGTTATCATAATCATTATCATGATTATCATCATCATCACGACTACATGATCATGATAGACATTATTATCATCATTAATCTCACTATCATTATCATCGCTATCACTATCATTATCATGATTATCATCATCATCATGACTACTACCATGCTCTTTCTAATCATCTTCATCACAGTCAGGATCATTATTACGACTGTCACCATCACCGTTACCACCGTTATCATCACCATCACTACGACTACTTTCATCATCACTATTATCATTACTACCATCATATTTATCATTTCAATAATTTTATTTCACAAGATCTTGTTTCCGTCCTATTTTGTTTAATGGTTGAGCTTATTCGTGCAATTCTGATTTTACAAATGTTGATTCTCTTCGATAAACAGACTCAAATCATGAACTCTTGGAAATTAATGTCGGCTTAAATACACTCTCAGAAATACGCTAACAGTTCGGATGTTTGTCTTTTTCGATATATTACTTCGTATCGAGCAAGTTTGCATCACCGCTCTAAATTGCACGTAACATAATTCCACGTTAGCAATTCCTAGCTTATGATCTGGCTAAATCGATTAAAAAAAAGCACTCCCGTTCGCTAGCGCTACTCATTAGCAAGAATCAAAGCCGCTTGAGCCTTTGATATATCTAGCGAGAAACATTTCCAGTCGAATTATGTAGCGCAAAACCGCGCAACGGTCACATGCAACGAGACACATCCGATTAGTCATGATTCATAGACAAATAGGTCCGTTTAACAACATCCGCTTTGCTACTTAGGCAATTGCATTGAGGCTATTTATAGCAAGATGAGATACGTATGTCGACTGAAATAGCGTAAAAGTTCTGATAGTAAGACAAACAGTCTAACGTCGTGTTGCCAATTAGTTGATAGCATGCAGAAAGAAATGAGAGATAAGCAAATGAAGAAATTAAAACGAATAACAAAGAGGGAGAGGGAGAGAGAGTTAGTGAGAGAAAAAAGGGGGTGACAGATAGAAACAGAGACAGCGAGAGAGACAGAGACAGACAGATAAGCATACAAATACAGTGTCCAGAGAGACAGACAGACAAACAGACAAATAAAGTATCAGAGAGACAGACAGACAGACAAATAGAGAGGCAAACACGCACATACACACAAACAAACAAACCACCAGAAGATAAGATGAGCAATCAAACCAACATATAAAGAAAGTAAAACAGAGAAAGGCCAATCACGATAAGAAAAAAAAGAAATAGAAAATAAAAACCAAGAGAAGGAACAGACCAGACAGAGAACGGAGAAAGAACAAGTAAAACCCAAGAAAGAGATGCTACCCCTCCCCCCTTCCTAAAAAAAACCCTCTCCCCCCCTTGACACGAAACCAAACACCTCTCAAGGACCTACTCGAGTGGGCGGAGTAGGCGCGGGGTCAGCTCGGGTCATCCAGGCGGCGTAGGCGGCGAGGACGACCAGGTAACAGGTAATCCCCATGGCGGCGTCCTGGGAGGAACTGTGGCAGTGGCGACGACGGGCTGTGAGGCGTGGAGGGCGGGCGCTGCAGTGCGTTGATTAAAGACTTGACTTGAACTTATAACTTACACACCCTTCATTTACATCACTTCCTCCACGCCCTCCTCCCTCCTTCCTTCCATCTACGCCCGCCCTCCCCCTCCCCTCCCCTATTCCTCTCCTGACCCCTTCCCCCCTCTCTGTGTCTTCTATCCGTCTCTGTTTCTTACTTCCTCTCTCTTGTCTTATCTCCTCATCTCAATTCCCGCTTCCTCTTTATTTTGTTTTGTTTTATTTCTCACTTCTTTTCCTTGCCCCCCCCCCTCTTTCTTTCTTCTCTCCTCTTTATTTTCTCTATTTCTGTTCCTCTCTCCCTCCTACTCCCTCTCTCCAATCTCTCTTCCTCCTCCCTATCCCCTTTTCCTCTTTCCTTTGTTCCTCCTTTCCCCCCTTTCCCCCATTCTATCTCCTTCCTCCCTATCGTTCTCTTCTCTCGCCTCCCCTACTTTTCTTTCATTCCCACTTATCTTCCTCTCTCTCTCCTTTCCCTTCCAATTTCTCTCCCTCCTTCCCTATTTTCCCTGTTCATCCTCCACTCTCCCCTTTGCTCAGTCCTTCACCCCCTCATTCCCTCTCTTATTCCCAGCCCCTCCATCCCTCCTTCCTCTCCCTTCCCTCCCTCTCTCCATATTCCCTCTTCCCTCCCTCAGTCACGCCTATTTCCCTGTGCCTCCATCACTCCTCTTCTCCTGTCCCTCCCTCCATCCCTCCTCTCCTGTCCCCCCCTCCATCCCTCCTCTCTTGTAACTCCCTCTCTCCCTCCTCTCCTGTCCTTTTCTCTTCCCCTATTCTTCCCTCCTCCCCTGTCCCTCCCTCCCTCCTTCCTCTTCTGTCCCTCCCTCCCTCCTCCTCCCCTGTCCCTCCTCCTCCTCCTCCTCTCCTGTCCCTCCCTTCCTTCCTCTCCAATCTCTCCCCTTCCCCACCTCCTTCCCTCCCCCTCCCCTGTCCTCCCCTGCCCCCCCCCCCCTCCCGTTTACACCTGCACACACACTAATCATCCTTTGCTCTTTCATTACTATCGTCTGTTATCCTTTTGTTCCTTGCTTCCTCCTTCCCTTTTATTCTCGTCTATTTATTCTCCATTTCTTCTCTTCTTATTCCCATTCTCTCTTCTCTTCTCTCCTTTTCCACTTCCCCCATTATCCCTCCCCGTTTTGCTGTGTTGCTTTTTACTCCTCTTCCTCCTAAGTCCCTTCTTCAACTAATTATTTTGCTTTATACTTCAGTCTCATCGTTTTTCTCTTCTTATTCTTGTTTATTTACTTGTTTTTCTTCATACTTCACCTTTCGTTCCTCCTGCTCTTCGCATAATCCTCCTCCGCCTTCTCTTCTTCCTCCTCCTCCTACTCCTACTCCCCCTCCTCCTTTTCCACCTCCTCCTCCCCTCCTCCCCCTTCTCCTCTTTCCCCTCCTTCTCCTTCTCTTCTTCCTCTTCTTCCTCTTCCTCCTTCTCCTCCTCCTCTTCTTCCTCCTCTTCTTCTTCCTCCTCCTCCTCCTCTACTTCTTCTTCTTCTTCTTTTCTTCTTGTTCTTCTTCTTCTTCTTCTTCTTCTTCCTGCTCCTCCTCCTCCTCCGCCTCCTCTTCCTCCTCCTCTTCTTACTCCTCCACCTCCTCCACCTCTTCTTCTTCCTCCTCCTCTCCATCTTCCCCCTCCTCCTCTCCACCCCCACCCTCACCTCACCTCCACCTCTTCCACCTACCTCCTCCACCTCCTCCCATTCCTCTTCCTCCTCCTTCTCCTCCACCTCATCATCATCTTCCTCCTCCACCTCCACCTCCTCCACCGCCACCTCCTCTTCCTCTTCCTCCTCCTTCTATTCCACCTCCAACCTCCACCACCTCCACCTCCTCCTCCTCCTCCTCCTCCTCCTCCTCCTCCTCCTCCTCCTCCTCCTCCTCCTCCTCCTCCTCCTATTCTTCTTCTTCCTCCTCCCCTTCCTCCTCAACCTCCTCATCCTCTTCCTCCTCCACCTCCTCTACCTCCACCTCCTCTATCTCCACCTCCAGCTCCTTCTTCTCCTCTTCCTGCTCCACCTGCTTATCCTCTTCCTCCTCCTCCTCCTCCTCCTCCACCTCCATCTCCTCCTCTTCCTTCTCCTCTTCCTCCTCCAACTCCTCTACCTCCACCTCCACCTCCACCTCCACCTCCTCCTTCTCCTCTTCCTGCTCCACCTGCTTATCCTCTTCCTCCTCCTCCTCCCTTCATACCCTTTCTTAACCCTCTCCCTTTCCCTCCCCCCCTCCCCCACCCACCACTTGATTCCGTATCAATTAACGGCGCGTCATTTCACGTCACACCCAGTTAGTTTCCATGGCAATCATCTGTATTTGTTTA